CCTTGGGTGTTTGGGATCCAAAATCCAGCTCTCTCTCTCCTTTGGCTCGAATTTGGGTTAAAACCCAGAATTTCCCGACTCACACGGCCAGCCCACACGGCCGTGTGACTCTCCCAGGCTGCCCGTGTGAGTGTCAAAATGCGGAGTTTCGATAAGTGGCTTCAGACTTCCTACACGGCCATGACCCACACGGCCGTGTGGACTTCCAGGGTGCCCGTGTGAGTTCCCTGGAATTTCCACACGGCCACAAGGGGTCCCCTACACGGCCGTGTGGCTTTTAGGCATGTCCGTGTGACTTCCTCAGCTTCTCGCCAAACGTCCGATCTCCTTCCAATCGACCTTGAACTCGTTCCTAAACCTTCATTCACGTACTAGGACCTAAAATATCACAAACAAGAACAACCTAGCGTGAAATCAACCTAAAACGTGGGAATCGACATCTCAAACGGCTAAAGAATAGGGGCAAAAACATGTGCAATCAATGGTCTATCATCCATCCATACAAAGTTCTTTATACAATTCAAGACCTCTACTATATACTTACAGGAGATGAAAAGATGATTGGTATCTTCTTCTTCGGCAAGGCCCAATGCGCATCTGCTAGGGAAGGACCAACCTCTCTTCTTCAACATCTCGTGGGTCAGAATTTTCTTGTAATAAACCGTCCAAAGAAACACCGAGATCTTCTGAGGAACCACTTGCTGCCAAATCATCTTGTGAGGAAATCCATCTGCGTTCTGTGTTTGGTTCTTGATCAGGACAACATAAAGTGAGTTGGAGTTTAAGCCCGATAATGGAGAGGGCTCCCAAACTACTCTTGTAGGACCTGCACACACAATAGAAAGTGAAATACTTGCAAGCACATTCATCAAATCTTGTCTTTCTCTCTTAGCCCCACACCTTAGTGAGAACTTAAGTGGAATTATCCAGGAAACACTCTCTCCCTCAAGTTTTAGAACATCAGTGATACGGCAGCCAGGAGATTGCGCCGCAGCAAAAACCCGCGAAAAGTCTTCATCCAATCTGTGCCCTTTGATCCAAATAACGTGCCAAAAGGAGGTCCACGTCCCACCTCCCGCTTCCACATGTGCAACCTTTTAAGCTTCATGATTTGGTTCCAGGGACTGCAACCGATCCCTATTCTATTGAAGCCTGGTACCCATTCGGAATCTTCGTTATGATACTTGAGGTTTATGAGCTGCCTCCACCAGGAATCAGTTTTGTTTGAGAAACTCCATAGCCACTTGTAGAGCAATGCTTGGTTACGAATGCTTAAGTCAGGAACTCCCAGTCCTCCAAACTTTTTCGGTATCTTACAATACTCCCAAGACACCAAGTGCATTTTTTTCTGAGCCATTGTTCTGGACCAAAGGAAACGTTGTTGGACCCTTTCCATTTCAATGATTATCGATTTTTGAGCTTGGAAAACTGTGCTCATATACATAGCTTGTGATGTTAAGACTGAATTAATGAGTGTGATCCTTCCGCCTAGAGAAAGATAATTCATTTTCCAGCCTTCTAACCATTGCAGGTGATAATTGAGGTGTTCCAACTTGTAGAAGAAAGAGGAGAAGCACCAAGGGGAAATCCAAGGTAGGTAGTAGGAAGGAATTCTCAGTCACAGACAAAGATCTCGGCAAATCAAGATGGGTTTGGAACATCTCCAATCAGATATAGTTTACTCTTTTTCATATTACTTTAAGGTTGGTGATGCTTTAGAAACAAACTAGCGCTGCCAAGACACTATTTAATTCATCTTCTGTAGCATCACAGAAGATTATAGCATCATCTACGTACATAAGGTGAGTTACTTCTCCTTGCCTACGAGTTTCGTCGATATAGAATCCAATAATGAAGTTTGCCATCTTGATTCTTTGCAAGATGAAGGATAAAAGATCCATTACTAGGCTGAACAAGAGAGGATACAAGGGATCTCCTTGTTTAAAACCTCGCTCCATGCCAAAGAAGCCTGCTGCTTCTCCATTGAATAGGGTCGACAACTTGGAAGAAGAAACAATCCCCTTCATCCACTTCCTTATTTTTAGATTAAACCCCATAGATTCAAGCACATTGAGAAGGTAGCCCCAGTTGGCTGAATCGAAAGCCTTCTCAATGTCTAATTTGAGGACAATCGCAGCCTTCTCACTCCTTCGTCTGCTATTGATTAGTTCATTGACAATAAGACTTGCTTCGTGTATCTGTCTACCTTTAATGCCAGAGAATTGGAAGTGAGAAATTATAGATGACACAATCGGTTTCAGTTTGTCGATGATTACCTTGGAGATGACTTTGTTTAGGCTTCCAATCAGACTGATTGGTCTAAAGTCTTTCAACTCCTCCGCATTCTCCTTCTTAGGAAGTAGGCACAGAAACGCATGAGCAACTAAGTGTGGCAGCTCACCGGTTATGTAGAAGTCATCCACAGCCTTCACCCAGTCGCCTTTAATGACGTTTCATCCTTTCTTGTAGATCTCAAGGGTTAATCCATCTAGATCGGGGGCTCTATTACCGTTACTTTTACAGATGGCTCTCCAAATTTCATGCTCTGTGAATGGTTTAGTGATCTGCAAATTTTCCTCCATACTAACCTTGCATACACTGTACTCTTCGGGAAAGGTCTGTTGTTATTATCCTCAACAAATCTGTCTCGAAAAAAATCAGCCCCTGTTTCCTTCATTTCAGCCTTCTCTTCTAGTGATCTTCCTTCCACCTTCATTTTTCAAATCCATGAAGCAAACGAGCCTTAAGTCTCTAACTAAAGGGTTCCCAGCTAACGGAAGTTGGACGGGAAAAGTTACGTGGGTGAGTTTGTTAATACTTCATTTTGAAATGAGTGTGAGTTAATAAAAGGAAAAATACACTTGTATAGCCAAAACTTTGACGGTTTAGCCAAACATAGCCACTTTTGACGAAATGCCAAAAATAGCCACATCCGTCCAATACTTTAACGGTGTCATCTAACATGCTGACTAGATTAATGGAAAAGATGGCTTGTTAACTTTTTGGTCAATACTAATATGATGTGGAATTCATATAAAAACTAAAAATAAATTATCAAACATTTTTTATTTACTCTCTGCACTCTATGTTCTTTCTCCTTCCGTTCAGCTCATCTCGCTCTCCCTCTCTCCATCAAAAACATTCTCTCTCTTCGCTTCCCAATAATGGCGATTGATATCCCACCGTCATCATCTTCGCCCAAAACGTCCTCCCTTTCCGGCCCGCCTTTTCGGCCGCCGCACTGGTCACTCAAATTTCAATCCAAAACCTGCAATCAAACCCAAACTCATCTCAGCCGTCGTCAATCCTCTACCCCCTAGATCCTAGCTCTCGACGCCGCAAAGAAGAAGTCGGTCGCCTAGACAGGGTCGAGACTCACCACCGTGGCAGCGGACGAGCCCAGATGCGTCGATGTTGGGTGAATTCCATGTCCCTTTAGAAGATTCGAACGATATGCCAAAATGGATATAATGAGGAATTTTTGGCGATGGCTTCAGATCTATTTTCCTCTTCTTTATTTTTTGGGTAAATACAATTTAATATCCAAACCTTTCATTTTAAACAATATAATAACCAAACCTTTTCGAAAACAATCTAATATCCAAATCGTCAACTTTCCGTCCGTTTGACCGTTGGTTGACACTTCAAAAAAGCTTTGTTTAGGGGAAATTGTCACAATACAACTTTGTTTTCTTGTTTGGCATTGCAGATGACTGAATATTTAGATTTTTATACCATCGTGGTGGAGTCATGGACTTCTCGGGTTTGGAACCACGATATGCTGGTGGTTTTTCAGAGAAGATATCGATGGATATTGATGAAGCGTCGTACTTCGAACTTTTTTGAAGTGTCAACTAACGGTTAAACGAACGGAAAGTTGACGATTTGGATATTAGATTATTTTCGAAAAGGTTTGGCTATTATATTGTTTAAAATGAAAGGTTTGGATATTAAATTGTATTTACCCTTTTTTTTTTGGGTTTGATTGTTGGATTCGGGATCAGCCTGATGAAGAACTCCGGCTATCCATCGAGCTTGTTCGTGCTCTTGAAGCGCAGGACTTGAGAGTGGAGAATGAGGAAGAGGAGAGCCGGCGCAGGGAAGGATGACTGAAACTCCATTCCCGGCCTAGTTTGGTGGCAGAATCGACTACCGGGGGGTTGTGCCTCGTGTTTCTGCAGAAGGAGAGCCTCTCGACGGAGGATCTCCAATCGATGGTGGGAAAAACACAGCGAATGCAATTTCAATTTCCCCCTTTCCCATCTCGGTCTCTCTGTTCTTTAATCCAATATCTTTTTCTTCTTCTCTTTCTTTCTCAAGAACGACAGCGACGACATGCAACAAAGGGTTTATGCAGGATCGGGAGATTGAGTTCCAGATTTGCTCTGTCCTTCAATCTCATACCTCTCTCTTCTTCTCCTTCCCTCTATTTTTTCTCTGTTTGAATGTGTTCATGTTTATGCTCAAGCGTCAAGAAATTGTATTAGATTGCGTATATGTTCTTTTGGTTGTTTTGATTCTTGTTTTCGGCTAGTTTTTTTTATGGTTTTCTGTCTCTTGATATGCCGTCTCTTCCAACTGTACACATCTCTGTCGCATCACCACGCTGTCGGCGCCGGAAATCCGCTTCTCGCAGCAGGGGAAGAGGAAGAGTTGGAGAGAAGGGCGGCGGCCACTAGCGCTGGTGGGAGAGGATGTAAAAATAATTTTGATTTTTTATTTAATTTTAAATTAAAATATGACATGGCATCCATGTGGCAAGTGTTATTGAGTTGTCAATGATGTGTTCGGTGAGTTGGCAGTCAGATCATCGTTCCGTTAATTCGACTAACGGTGTCATTGACGCCGTCAAACTATGTAACGAAAATGACTATTATTGTCATCAAACTTTCAAATTTTTGGTTATTTTTTATATTTTCTCAAAAATGACTATTATTATCTTTTGCCTCGATAAAAAGCAAAAGTTGATGGGCTTGTTAGCTACTCGAGACAAAGTAGAGAGACAGAGGCTTAACCCAAAAGCGTAATAGTAACCCTAGTTTAGTTTCTCTTCCTCGCGAATTTTGTATCCTCACGCCAGGACGTCAGCCGAGTTCTATTCTACGGGAAGAGTCATCTCTCTGATCTTCGTTGTCGATCGGATTTCAGAATGGTAAGTCTCTCCCCAAGTTTACTTCTGAGTTTCATCTTATTCATGATTCTGTAAGCTTAGATTATCTTACGCGGATTCGTTTTTTTGTGATGGATACTGCAGGCGGATTCTCCTTCTCAAAGGTGAGGCCTCTCTGCTTTCGATCTCTCTGTTTGCTTTACTTCTGGATAATCGACATGCAGTCAATCAATTCGTCTCCTCTCTTCCTCTTAAATGGTTTTGTTTCTTGGCCGCGCTCTACTGGCGGAGCTCTTCAGCTCGCTGTCCGCTCTCATTTTAATCGTTCCATTAATGTTGTGTATACCAGGCTCCACTTTTACAATTGTTGCTAGTGGTTTTGGTCTATGGCTGTTTTGGGAGATACTTCTCCATTGCTCACTTGTGAATTGCGACTTGGAGATAAATTTTGTGTATCTTCATTATTTTGTGTTGAAAGAGGTTGAAAACCTGTTCTGGTATCGTTATACTTGAGTTGGTGTTTAGGATTTGTTTACCACTTCTTAGTCATTATATGGTGATGATTGTACAAGGAACCACCATATATGAGCGCCTTGTTATGTATGTGATGTGCAGTCCATCTAGCTCTGTGTTGTGCCAGTTCTTTTGATGCCCTTAGCATTTTGCTGTGGCAGGAACTCACGGTCTCCATCTCCTTGGAGAGGCCAGTCAAGGTCTAGATCCCGGTCTAGGGCCAGGTCCAGGTCTAGATCATTGGACAGGCCGAAACATAGATCGCGCTCTCGCAGTCGTGGCAGGTACTCTTGATGGACTTCATTATTTCATTATTATCATTGCAGTTCATGTCCGCGCTAGGTGCGTTGGTACTTATCCTTTCTCCTTTGCTCTTGATGGCTGATTTCCTCTGCTTTACTGCATCCAGGAGTCGTGGCAGGTTAGTAGCTTCTCTGCAGTATTCTGCTTCAAGAGTATTTGCTTAATATGATAGACTCTCAGTTGTCATTAATATTCTGTCACGTTTGTCAGGGTTGAGGCTGTTAATCCAGGAAACACTCTCTATGTGACTGGCCTCTCTACAAGGGTCACTGATAGGGAACTCGAAGATCATTTTGCAAAGGAGGGAAAGGTCTGTCTTCTTGCTGCATTAAACAGATCCATAGCGGATGTCTTCTTCATCTTCATACATTGTATATTTTCCTTGTGTATCTTCTATGTGCCTAACTGGAAAGTTAACTTATTTAATCTTTGCATATATGTTATTAAAGAAGTGTCTTTGGTTTATTAGGTTGCCTCATGTTTCCTTGTTGTGGAGCCCCGTACGCGCATTTCTCGTGGGTTTGCTTTTGTCACGATGGACTCTGTTGAGGATGCGAACCGTTGTGTTAAGTATCTGAACCAGTCTGTTCTGGAAGGACGATATATAACTGTGGAGAAGGTATTGTTACAGCCTGTGTTTTCAGCTTTAATTTATTTTCATTGTATATATCTTTTTGACTTAAGTGTTTTCAGGTCGTACTCAGTAGACATTGCATCAGCTTTTTCGCAGCAATCAAAGATGATCAATTCATCCATGTCAACTTAGTGAAACAGCCTGATCATGGACAGCTGAAACAGCCCTTTTCAAATGCTTGTGATCAACTAACGTAGCAACTATATTGTTCAACACTATACCACTTCAGCATTCAATTTCAACTCAACTAATCAACGGACATTTCCAACAACTTTCTAATCAGGCTTTATGGTATTGGAAACCTGGAACTCATTTAATGGAAAACTATGACCTGGTGCTTCTCCTTTTCTTTTAGTGGAAGACCTTTTCCCGCCTTCATTTTGGCTTTTCATTTGTATATATGCACCTGCATTTCCTTGACCATGCAGTCATGGAGCTTTTTGTGTTTCTGCTCGTTGGAAATGGGGGTTTCTATGTTGCTATTAAGAAATTGCTAGTCATGGTAAGAAAAAAACAACTGAAGTAGTTTATCATTGACCTTGCAGTCTCGGAGGAAACGACCAAGGACTCCAACTCCAGGACATTATCTTGGTCTCAAGAACACAAGGGATGGTATGTTTAGCTCATAAACCTTACTTGCTGAGCATATTCGTAGCTGTGGATTTGATGTTTTAGTATCCTAACATAGTTGCATTTGGTGCTTTTCTAGAGGGACCTCGTGATCGTGATCGTGGTAGGTATCGAGGCGGTGGTGGAGGGGGTGGCTATGGTTATGATGATTACCATAGGTCCCCGAGGCACGATGACTACCGTAGGTCTCCAAGGCGGTCCCCATATGGAGGTGGCGGTCGTGACTATTCTCCTCCTCCTAGGCACTCTCCTTATGGCGGTGGGAGATCAAGGAGGTACCGGTCAAGGTCACCTTAAACTCCCTCTCGCTCTCTTATATTCTCTTTAAGTTTTCAGAGAGGATAACCATGGATGTAGCCATCCAGTCCAGACCTGCGAGTTAGTGCAGATAGGGGGAGAGGTGTCTGTACTTGTTTGAGCCGGGCTTGTAGTGAACAGGAGGATTAGCCTTTTCATGATGTGGATTTTTGTGTGTTGGTGTAACCCAAATATACTGTGGCTGCAGTCGTTATGCCAAGTTGCTAGACAAGCTGCTCAACAGCTCAGCGCTTTGTCTTTCATCATTAGTCTGGAAGCGTATGATTTGTTTGGTGTGTTAGGGTCTGGGGTTGTCGTACGGAGAGTCGGGTTTGCTTAAAGCGATCATCAGCATCTTGTGCCTTTGAAGGAGCCTTCTGCTTCAGTTGCTGCTCATCTTTTACTTAATCCAGTTTCTGGCAATTAGATCATCCTATCAAAATCGCGAGCTGCAGTTGAAATAGGTGGGTTCGGGTTCTGGTTCTGGTTCTGGCAAAGAAAATCCTTCGATCGCTCTTAGGTGTAATGAACTGCATACTTGGAATCAATTGAACTTTCGTTTATCCTTTTGCTGTCAAACGTGTAAATATTGCCGAAAAGAGACTAACGTTAGGTGAATTGAACCTTGGTGTCTAGCTAGTGACCCGCATTCCGATCTGCTTTGAATAATTCAGGATTTCAGGTTGTACGTACCTACTGATACGTCGGTTAGCTTTCAGGCTCATTTATCTGTTCAAATTATCATTCTCAATTGTTTGATTTGATAGGAAAACTGAATTATAGATTTTATACGTTATTTTACATGCCTCTCAAAGCTCAAATGAAAACCAGTTACACGTTAAAAATTTACACAGAGTCACTGTACTTAATTAATATTTAAATCAAGTATTAATGTTGGGAATTGTGGATATTTGAAGAAAAGATCAGTTGACAAAAATTTGATCTCTAAATAAAAATCAGATATGATGCCGTGATGTCATTAACCGTTTAGTCCACGTAGGACAGAATGAAACCAACTCTCTATATAATATAATTACACAGAGACTAAAGGGGTCGCAAATAGTAAGAATCCCGAGACATTGCGTATTGGCGTTACTAAGATGTTTCACCCGAGAATGAGATGATCAGCTAGCGTTATTGTTGTCCGATTACAAGTAAAGCATTTGCATGTCATCAATAAGCCATTCATGAAAATAAGGTATAGTTAAATTAATATATAGCGGCCGGACAAATTAAAACACACCACTTAATTAATTAAATCCCTTTGACTAGCTTTGTTCGTTGTTGGTTGACTTCTGTGATAAAGAAGAAGAGCTAGCTAGCTAGCTTTGAACATGGCCTGGCCGCACAAGAAACTTAATAATTCCAACCTAGCTAGCTAATTGATCAAAACGCGAGGCGAGGAGGACAGAATCTAAATTAAAACCAGAGTACACAACACAGTACAGAGCAGAGGAGAGGAGAGGAGAGCAGTAATTAATGAGATGAGACCATGCATGCCCGTAGTACTAAACACAGAAACAGCAAAATTACGACTCTCGATCGACAAACGAGGCACTAGCTAGCTACTACGTACGTAGCATAAAACAACAACGTTACAAAGACATGCATGCGCGCACACTGTGGTGATGACACTTAAAACAACATTAATCAACCTTATTAAATCATTATTAGTTACGCTACTCCTGTTATGTTAACTAATTAAGGACACGGGAGAAGGCCGCCAGCTGCACCGCCGAATCCACCCAGCCCTCCGATCCCGCCGTAGTGGACCCCACCCAGCACCGGAAAGCCGCCCACGAACCCAGCGTACCCGCCAACGCCGCCCCCGTATATGAAGTTCTTCCCATCCTCAACACCAACGCCCGGCGCCGGCGCCACATCGAAAGTCGAGGTCTGCACCAGTACTGCGTCGGCCGCGGCCTTGGCCTTGGCCTTGGGCATGCAGGGGAGAAAAGTCTTCTGGTCGGCGGCCGCAGCGGTGGTGGTGGGGACGGGTCTCGCACTTGCATGGACGAGCCATGCGAAGAAGAGGAGGGCGAAGAAGGAGGCGTAAGGCCTTGCCATTGTACAACTACAACTACAACTAGAATATTATATTATATTGCTTTGCTTTGCTTTGCTTTGCTTTGCTTTGTGTGGGTGCAAATGCATGCAATGCAATATAACAATATAATGAAAGGTGGTGGGAAGGGGAAGGGGAAGGGGAAGGGGATTGTGTATTTATACTATAGATAGGAAGGGAAGGGAGGGTGGGTGGCAGTTGAGAGGCTAATAAATGAGAATGAGACATCAGACATCAGACATTGCATGCTGCTCCAGTTTAGTAAACTGTAACGGAATTTAATTTGGGGTTTTGGGGGAGGTGTACTGTTACTGTATGCCATGGGATCAATATAATAATAATAATAATAATAATAATAATAATAATAATAATAATAATAATAATAATAATAATAATAATAATAATGATGGACAGATGGAGTGAGCTAGCATCAAAAGAAGTGAGAAATTAATTATCAAGGTGGTGGGGAGGAGTCAAATAGAAAGGAAGAGGTGTGGGGCTCTGGCGTGACGTGGTGTCGATCAAATAACTTACTTGCCCACAAGGAAAGAACGTGGATTGATCTAATGGGAATGAGATAGCATGCTTACCATTAAAAGGTAGGAAAAATGACATCTCTATTAATTATAGGTTTTTAAGGTAATTAATTTGTGTTTCATTTAATAATTTGTATGAATTAAAAACATATATTAATTACTTTCTTTTTTTCAGTGCACTGGTAGGGCTTAGGATAGGGTCAGTAACCATCCAATGGTTACTGACCTATAAGTAACTAAATCTGGAACTTTAGATATAAGTGGGTCCAGAAAATTCAAATCTAAGGGTTGTCAATTAAAAATATTTTATTTTTCCTAGTTTTCTTAATCGGTTATTATCTTTTTCGTTCTAACTTGGATTTTTTTTTTTTTTTTGCACAGATAGAACGGGTTCGTTGTGCTCTACAAAATGAGATCAATTTTCAATATATTTCGAGAATTTTTTTTACCAACTACATACCATATGGTAACTTCTTCGTTTTTAACTCGTTTTTGAAAACGTTTGCTCAGAAGGAACAAGTTCATCATGATCTATTGGATCTATAAATTTCTGGGTGAAAAAAATACTGGATAAAAAATTATCATACTTTACCACTATGGTGTGTGAGTGGTAACTTGTAGTAAACAATGATGAAAGTCGTAAATGACAATCAGTATACTCCTACTATCATGTATTTAACCTTCTTACCATATTGGTATGTTCATACCATCATGGTACGCTTTCTTACCATATGGTATTAAATAAGAGCATATCATATGGTAATGACTGGTAAAAAATTATTCAGCTTTTTTTTTACTAAAAATATATCAAAGTGGATATAATTTTAAAGAACATATTAATCTGATTTAGCTGTGCAAAAAAATTAAATTTTGACTTAAAACGAGAGAGAAATCGTTCGTTAACGATTAAAGGAGAAAAGATAAAAGACTTTTCAGGAGAGAGAAGGTACTGATGTCATGCTGATGTGGACAGGTTACTCATGGTTACTGACCATAGAGTTACTAACCTGATCCGTTCCTCACTGGTAGTTGTATCAGTGCAATGATAGTTCCAAAAAAGAAACGTAATTAATATGAGTTCAGTATACAGGTACAATGGTAGTTGTATCAGTGCAATGGTAGTTAAAAAAGGAATGTAATTAAGATGAGTTTTTAATTTTCAAAGATTATTAAATGCAACACGAATTTAATACAAAAAATAACTGTAATTAATAGGGGTGTTATTTTTCGAACCCTTAGAAGGGTTAGCATGCTAACCGATCACAGACAGCTCAGCTGGTGGTGTAGAAATAGAACGTGGATTGATATGCATGGTGATTACCGATCGATAACCTGTCCTTTATGGATTGGATTGGATTGGATTGGTGAGCAAGCAAATCTCCCATCCCATAGTTTTTCACTCTAGCTACTTAATTGGGTAGAAATTAAATTGAATGCGGCGGTCATCTGGTGGAAAGATGAATCTCGGGGTTAATTTGCATGTCGTGGGATTTGTCCGTCTGGCCGGCGGCACCCCAAACTGCCCGGGTTAGCTATTCATCTACTGTACGTACGTTATGTATTAATTGCGAGCGAATGAATTGAATGGTATGTATGTATCAAATTAAATTAAAGGAACACTGCCCCATTCCCATTGGGCTCTTCCTAATCATTAATCAAGACTCACTATTATCAAAACTAACTAACTAGCTAGCTACGTATTAATTAGTCAACTGGAATAGAAATGTTGTTTAATATTCAATCTCCATCTTAATTAACACTATAAATAAAAATATTGAGTGTTAAATATGCTTGAACCTCTACGATGTATTTGGGTAAAACAGGGAGAGATTAGATGCCTAACTTCGGAAAAAATCCAAAATTACCACTGTTTAAATTTTTTTTTCCAAAAATACCACCCAACCCCAAAAAATTCCAAAAATACCACCCTTTTTAAAAACCGCCACCCCACCCTGCGGTTTACACGAAAACCGCTTGTCGGGGGCGCAGTTTTCTATGCAAACCGCGGGGCTAAGGGGCGGTTATAAAAATAAAAAAAATTTGGACCAAACCGCTGGGTGGGGTGGCGGTTTGGCCCAAAACCGCCACCCCACCCAGCGGTTTGGTCCAATTTTTTTTTCTTTTTTCGATCAACTCCTAACTTCGGCCGAAACTTCAAACGAACGTAACTTTGCACTCGGGTATCCGATCGTAGCGATTTGTTTTTTCATTTCGCATAACTTTTCAACATCTACAACTTTTACTAGGATGAAATTTTCAAAACAGGAATTATTTGTGGAAATACGGGACCTTGGGAATAACTTTACCTTTACTTTTCACAAATCCATGTACATTTTGAAATTATGATTATATAAAAAGTTGTAGATCTTGAAAATTTATGCGGAATAAAAAAAAATTCATGACATTCGGATTTGGGAGCACAAAGTTATGGCCGCCCAAAATTTGACGAATTTTTTGGTGTTGGGTGGTATTTTTGGAATTTTTTTGTGTTGGGCGGTATAAAATGCGGTTTTTAAACTGTGCTAACTACTCTAATCATCATTCATTCTTTTAAGTTGAATCTGATGGTGGATCATAATGAAGGGTTTGTTTGGAATTTCACAAAATTAAAATAATAAATTAATTTAAAACTAAAATACCATTTTCTCTCTAATCTATTTATTAGCATTTTATACCGAAAAAATTACTAATAAATTTACTACTACTTAGATTAGTAGTCATTTTACCGATAATAGTGATTTTAGAATTGTTATGGAGGCTCATTGTAGTGTGTTTTGGAGGGTCGTAGTGGTTTTCAAATAAATAGTAGTGTTTTAACAATTTTTAATTTGTAGTGGTTGATAATTTTTAATGAGAATTACTACCACAAAATATAAATATACTACGAATGAAAAAATATGCTACCATAACTATGAAAACCTTGATCAAAATCACTACACATTTAATCATAATCCCTACAAATAAATTACTACTACATACAAATTACTACTAATCTAAAACTAAACCCTATTAGAAACATAAAATCAAACCCGTAGAGAATAATCACCACAAATCTGTAAAATTCCTCCATATCTTAATATTACTACTACATATAATTCTGGCGGCATCGGCGTCGTTGCGACATAATCAGCTATTAGATTAACAACGTAAAATCAAGCCAGTTGAGAGACGTTGGAGGCATCGTCGTCGCTACGGAGCCGCAGACTCGCTGCGGAATCGACATCGATGGAGTGCGACGACGGCGAGGTAGAGGGACGAGAATGGGCTTCTCGTAGCGGCAGAATTGACATCGATACTCTCGGCTCCACCGCTTCCCCCTCCTGCTTTCACACAGGCGAGACTTGGATCTGGAACTCGCTCGACCACGACTGCTCGGAGAGACGAAGATGTTGAGTCCGGCCGGATTGGACGACAACGACTTCAACGGTTCTTGGCAGAATCCTGGCGGTGATGTTAATTTGGCTGGAGATGGAGTTGGGTGTATTAGTTGATAGAGAGTGGAGACAGGGAGACGTGAGTTCATGAGAGAGGCAGTAGGGTAAAATAGTATTATTTATATTAGGGTTTGATGCATATTGACTTAATTATCCTTTGATTAATTCTAATCCTAGGATTAATATTTTGATCTAAAGGCGGTTAGAGTAGTTAGTATGATGCTAACCCCATCCCGGTAAAACAAGTATAATTAATAAGGATAAAAAAAATAACCAAAGGATTTTGTATCTTATGTCGATGGTGTAAAATCTCCAGAAACCACCTTTATATCGGGTTTAAGTAAGCAATTGGTGTAAAAAGTCAATTATATGGTATTTTATGGTTCAATCGTTTCATATTTCTAAAAATCGTCTATCGATTTATGCTTTGATAGACGAATTTCTCGATCGGACCACCAATATGAATATGATACTATTTTACAAACACTCTTTCATGTATATATATATATAATTAATCCCAAGAGAGAAAGACGAGTAAAACACAAGTAAAATGGTCATTTATTGTCATTTGTAAACACTTAATATTTCTATCTAATCTGTGAAATGTTGAGCTACATCCTTCGTACTAGTTTTGACTACGCGAAACTCGGATCCAATGCTACGAAGTAACCAGTAAATCACCGACAAGTTCTCCGATCAACAATTACTTGTAAGTATGCACCTACTAATCAAACTTAACAATTGAATCTCCACTCTCCAATCTTCAAAATATTGCTGGAAATCGGTCGTTAGAAGAAGAAGAAGAAGAAGAAGAAGAAGAAGAAGAAGAAGATGGTGATGTTGTTGTCGGCATTGGGATTGAATAAGTACTCAACCCTCTCCAGGTTACTCCCCGCCGGAGCTGGCCGGCTGAGGGTTCTTCTCATCACTCCTTCCTCACCTACCCTCCCTTCTTATTACTCTTCTAAAGTGAGTTAATTTGAACGAAGAAGACAATTAATATACTATCATCGGTTCCTTTCTCGGCGGTTTGATCGTGTGTTCTTTCTGTGGTTCAAGAAACATAATTTCTTGAGCGTTTTTCTATATAAGCTATGATATAGCTCAAGATCTATATAAGCTATTGAGCTATGATTGTATGAACTTGTGAGCAGTTTTTCTTGTTGTAAAAGTGTTAAGTCAGTTATTTATTATTCGAATTGAAATATAGAGCGTTATATATTGTTATTTCAATAGTTATGAGTATAAAAACTAATTTTGCTCTCAATGCCAAAACACACTTGGACCACGCTTAAGAGAACTAATTGCTAAGCAAGATCACAATGTCGTCCTTCCGCCTAACACCTTTTTAACCTTGGTTCTTTCTGATATTTATAATTTGATACTTCCTTGGCAGGAAGAGACTGAAGATGACGAAGAAAAGGCAAAGCAATCCGGCAAGAAATTCAAAGAAAGGTTAAGCGACGTCAAGACTGCGGCCAAATTCGTCAGAGATGTCGCCAACTCCGACACTGATTCGGTAAGCTTTCTCCCTCTGTTACATATTTAAGGCCAGTGGGCTCAGACTGCGTCTTGGCCCAGGAGTGAGTGGGCTCTGGGCCTTATGTCTTTAACCCAAATGAGAGTATTATTATCATTTGATTACTTGCAAAATTTGGGGGGAAAAGCTCAGTACAAAATGGACAAAGACACCAAGGAAACAATCACGAAAGTGAAAGAGGCAGCTGAGACTGTGAAAGACGGGGTGAATGACGTGAAGAAGACCACCAAATTTGTGCGCAACATCGCCTCTTCCACGGCTGACACGGTAAATTAATTCCTTTTTACTTTGACCACAAAATTCCTCACTCTTATCACTCGGGTTCAATATGAAACCTCTTCCTCGTGTGGTTTGGAAATTATTAGGTGAAGAAGCTGGCGAAGGAGGCTACAGACAAAGTATCAAACTCGGCAATACAAGCCACCACTGAAATCGTCAAGGACAAAGTGAAGGGGAAATTTGATTGAGCCGTTTTGGGTTTCCATTTGAACCGAGGAAAATGTACGCTTTTACGAGTCATGACCATACACTTATTTCTCCATTATGATTTATCGAAGGATTAGTTGTGTTTCAATCTTATTTGTAGGTCCACTACAACAATTTTCATCTATTGTGACAGCAACATTTTGTCATAATAGGACCAAATTTCGTCATAATAACGTTATTTTGACAAAAACATTTGTCATAATGTTCGTCAAAATTACCTCGTCGAAACAACTTTATTATGAAAATTTTTTAATGTCTTGTCACAATATGCTTCAATGACATGATGGCCAAATTTTGTCATTATAAGACCCTCTATTTTGACAATATTTTGTCGCAATAAAGAGATATTTTGTCATAATACGATCAAATATTGTCACTATAGTTACAAATTTCAAAATATTATTGTGACAAATTATACCGTTTTGACAAATGATTTTGTTATAATAATTTGTCATAATATCTAATTTGAGGTTCTTGTATCAAAATCGTTTTTTGTCAAAATAAGTTGTTATGATAGACCATTATTGTTTTTTTTGTTGCATATTATGATTAGCAATAATCTGTATATTTTGTGACGAAACCATTTTGTCATAATCTAACAAGCTAATTTAGTCACCATATCCAAAAATTATGAAAAATAACACAATTGTCATGAATATTGAAGGTAACATAAAATATTCAATAATCCCAGTCATAATCCTTAAATAACAATCTTGCAAAGCAACATGATATTATATTCTTCATATTGCCTCCATTTATTCCATTTTGAAGAACAACCCAACAACAAGTTCATCTAACAAGATATTTCTACAGACAACCAAAAGTTTTAACAGACCATTATGCATCTGCTCCTGTTATTACTCATGCATCTAGCTTTCTCCAACTTCCTTCACTTTAGCATGGACAAGGCTTTAGACTAGTTGTGTGGCACATGATCAGGAGCTGAACCAAAGAGCTTTACGAGCATTCTTAGGACCCTTGAGAAGCATCTGCAAAAACAAATACAAACCTACCAAGAGCTAGCTTTGACAAAGAGTGTATTCACAACCCAATCAAAATATATATTCACTGTACATTAGTGAAGCGAGCTCACCTTAATGTTCATGGATGGTAGCTTTAGAAGCAAGCTGATTAACTAGTCAAGCATTCACCACCGACCTTCTTCATTCTAGCTTTGGCATGTATATTTCCACGTAAACTACACATACCGAAGATAAGAAGTAACAAAACAAAACAATCATTCTTATAAGTGAAATGACATGCAAAGAAAAGGTTAACTGTTGGGTTTGCAGTCTGATGGCCTAAGAGTCGAAGAGAGAAGAAAGTTTCTAGCAAACGCTCCAGCAAAATAGGTTCCTAACTGACATATATATGCCTTTAAAAAAGTCAATTACCTGGAAGTCTGGAACAACTCGGAAAAAATTGCAGTAAAGCAGTTATAATTTCATAGTATCCTACTCTGAAATTATTAGCTTCAAGTATTCTCAAAATCTCGTTCCTGATTCATATGACATGAAGAAAAGATATTCAATTTACTTCATGATTGATATAAAGTCCTTAGATATATAGAAATGCCCTGAAAAACCTACCACACCAATCATATCACCCACAAAAATGATTGATTCATATAGAAGCATAGCATACATTTGAACCGGTAGAGCGAACATCCAGAACAACATCCAATGATGTTAATTAAATGTGTGTGCAAGACTAAGCCAAGAAATTTCTAGAGGAACAAAATATAATACCTTACCAAGTTTCCTTTCAAGGCAGGAGTGCCAGAGTACTGGATGCATATAAGTTATAACAAGTCAGCCCAATGTAAAATCAACAAAACAATAAGACATTGTGATGGGATTATACCAACCCTACATGACCTAATTCGATTCCAAATTATATCTCTACATGGACCATGGGTCAATAGACAAATTAGGAGGTTTAAAGAGAGTTTAGGAGCATTCAAGATGGGTGAAAATGGGTCTACAAACAAGACCTACGGGTTAATGAAGAATTGAGGATTTCTTACAACTATCCTTGTCCAACAAGGATTTGGAAGAGATGCTTAATTGTTGTCCATGTTGGTTTAAGAGTCTTTTATTATATTAGCTTTATTTAATTTCTGAAGTATGGGTGTTATTTGTTTCCTAGTAGTAGAGTAATTACTTTTCAGTTTCCTAGGTGTAGAAGGAAGTCTTTTCTTTTGAGTTAGCCTCTCTATAAATAGAAGGCTTGTAGTTCAGTTTTATTCAATTCAGTATTCAGACTTCAATAAGAGTTTTCAAGAGTTGCAAGAAATATTTCCTTGTGATTTCTTAGGCTTATCAACCTCTGGTTGTGGCGCCTTGCCCCGAACCTTATCACCGACTGGTGTGGCGGTTCTTCCTCCATCTAACCTACCAAAAACCCTAAATTTCCCAATTCCTTTCAATTTCCAGCAACCCTAGCTATTTTATTGTCAATTAGAGCAGTTTAGGCACATCACATTGAAAAGCCAAGTTATGTGACAACGAGTTAGTACTACAATGAGGAGGGGAAAATGATGCCTTGTAGTCTTGCCTTTCATCTATATTAGACCCACTCAGTTAGCATATGAACTGGAGCCAACACCATAAGGAAATATATGTGTTCAATGACTTCCAACCCCCTTAGAACCTCCATTGGTGTAGCTAATCCTCCACTTAAAGCCGGAGAATTTTGTAATTGGCATTCCATTGTCGAGGAACGAACAGTTGAGAACTTAACTAACCTATTGGCCATCACAATTAGAAAAGTAAAATTCAGAGGAAGGGCGTGCAACTAACAGCTTACGAGCAAAAATCAAACTCGATTCAACAACTACTTTCACCAATAGGGATAAATTACCTCGACCTTCCGTCATCCGCCCCATGGAGTAGTGCTACGGAATTGTTGCTGATGCTGCGGTGATAGCGTCGGAGATTAGGATGTTGAGGCGACAAGGATAAGACAGGGCAGGGAGAGGGGAGAGAGTTGCTGAACGAAGGAGGGAACCGGAACGGCAACGACAATTGTGGTCTTCCATTCGTGACGGAGACAAGGCAGGGAGATAGGAGAGGGCAGTCGGAGGGAGATGGCGCAGGAGGAGGAAACTGGGACGGGGGTGACATCGGTAGTCTCCCAGTCGGCGGCATAAAGAGCGCAAGGGAAGAGTATAGGGCTTCTTCTGGTTCTGGATTGGGTGAGGGTTGAGAGGTGGCGGCAGTCTATTCAAGTTGGAGAGAGTGGCGACAATCGAGTAGTCGACATAGGGGTTTAGTTTAGGTGGATCGGGGGATGGAGCCTGGAGGGTACGGGTACGAGTGAGGAGAGGGTCGGGTATGTGCTAAACCCGAATCGAATCCAACCCGCAAAATAGTGAAACGGATTTTACCTTGAACCCAACCCAAAATTCGTTAACGTGGGTATTATTTCGCTTTGACAAGGATGGGTTGGGCTAGCTACTCATAGGTTCGGGTTATGTTGTCATCCCTAATCTTAAGTAAATGTCAAGAGGTGGGCAGTGGGCTAAACAACATAATTTGTCATCATAAATACCAACGATTTTATATTGTGGCAAAATCACTATTTGTTACATATTACATTTTATGTTTTCCCCCACAAGTTCCCGCCAAATCAATATCTCCACAAAATTTTGTAAAAAGTATAAATTTCATATTACATAAATTTATATGACCAAATATTTTGTCATAATATAAATAAATATTTATATATTTTCACAGGCCCAAAATTTGTTACATTAAACATTTCATCTTAGTGACTAAGTACACACGTTATATTATATGTAAATTTATGATACTATAACAAAAGTATTTATCATTATAAATGTGATAACATAAATAATGTGACAAACGATATTATGACGAATATCCAGCCACTTCTATCTGTACTATATATTATGGCAATTCAAAAATAACTTCTTGCCACATAAGCACTTGGAGAATTCACAAATTGCCAAGGTGGACAACTTTTTTTGCAAACAAAAAATTCATTATTGATCTATTTATGGAGCTATCTCTCTCTTCATTTAATATTTCTACTCATTTTTATTAAAAATTAATAATAAATTACATTTTATGAGAATGTAAACAAACACACAAAAGTATAATATTTTTGTCAATTAAAAAAAAATATAAAGATGGAAATAGAGAGTGACTATATCGAATTTTTTAAATAAAAAATATATGATTAAATTTTTTCAAGTAAATTTTCTACTCATTTTCACCAAAACATAATAAGTTACATTTTGAATTTTGTTTTTAAAGTACACATATATAATAATATCAGTATCAATTAAACAAAATATTACAATAGAAACATTGAAAACAAATTATTAAAAAAGTACACATATCTAATAATATTTTTATCAATCGACTTTGAAAATGAAATATATGAATTTATATTTTTTGTATTAACAACTCTCTTATTTCTAATGTATTTTTTTGGTCGAATTATTTCTAATATATATTTCTATCAAATAAAACAAGTCTTATACAGTAAAAGATCTGAATATAAATTTGACTAAGCAATAATAGTTCTTTCTTTAAAAATTTCTTATTCATCATTATTAAGTGAAAATATATATTCATGTTCTACCTTCAGTTTCTCAAATTAAGAGGAATCAGGTGTGCAATGCTTTATAATTTGTTCTAGGGTTCATATAAAAATATTCACTCTAGATCATATTAATTGAACAATCTCTATTGAGGTCATAAGTCGAATGTTAAGTAATTTCTTTTCAGACTTGGAGTTATTGTCGAACATTATTACATCAAAGTTTTCAAAATGACTTAAGTATGATTTTTGACGAGTTATGACTTCATACCTAAGATGAGACACAACATCACTTAAAAAACAACACGTGTGAAGGTTAAGAAAATATTCGTTGAGGAAATATGATAAACATCACGTTTCATCAACCACTAACCTTAACATTGATGTCTTGATAGACAAATCTAAATTCGAGGATAGATGCAATAAATAAAACATAAGTGTGTTAGTTGAGATATCTAAAAAAAATAAAATTTGTAGCTATAAGAATCTGAATTGAGGTATTGTGTTAAAATAAAGAATCTTTAATAAGGACGAGTTTAGTAAGACAATTGTAAGAAAACATTGGGGTAGTTTGCTTCGTGGATTTGATCAACTGAAGGTTTTAATAAAACTTGGATTTTGTAAAAACATGGATATGTATGAAGGTTTTTGGTTCATTATGTATTTGAAAATACCATATTTCGTTTCATAGATTTCATGATGCACTTGGTTAATTGAATTTGTATGTTGGAAGTGAAAATGACATATATTACCCTCATTGGTATGAGAAGGGAAATGAAATATGAGGGGTAGGTTGGTCATAAATAATATACTGCAAATTCCATGATGAATTTCCATCTAAAGAGGTGAAATTTTCAAGTCTGTGGGGCCCACAAATTTGAAACCTTAAAATACATGAGACCCACATATTTGTTGCCTCTAAATACATGAAGCAAGCAATGGTTTGACAAAGTTCACGATAGCTCCAAATTCATCAAGCAAACAACCCCACAATATTATATGCTTGTGAGTCTGTGACTCCATACCAAATTTTGGCAATAACAAAAAAAAATTCAATATCAAAATCTCAAAATGAAAATCTTTTTGTTAGTAACAGTAAGCAATTGTATTTAGATCGAGTTATCCTAGCCACAAAATTTCGTTTTCATATTTCAGTCGATGAGCCGAGTTCAAATGTATTAATTAGGGTTAAAAATTAAAATAAAACCATTATACATATTCTTAGATATTAATAGATATGTCTACAATACTTTCAAGAATTCAAATGCATCTAAAATGTCACAATGTTTCTACGTGTTATTACATTTTATAAAAAAATTCCAAGAAATCATAAATAATCATTACTTAATATTGTAGGAATTAGTTTAATATTGTAGGAATCTAAAACTAATTTAGTGCCACATCAGTACATGGCTAGTTCTCACCCTTCCACGCTGGACAAGGTCTAATTGGTGTGCTTTATTTTGCTTACTCTTTAAATTGTTATCATTATCAATAAAAAGTAAATTAAGTTAATAAAAATGAATGAAACATTTTGGTTTGTTCCTATTCCTTTTCCCATACAACATTGAAAATAAAACACAACATAAGAAACTAGATCAAGCCCCACAAAAATAAATAAAGCTCTCTTCTTATTTGCTTAAATTTTGAGTTTCTAGAATTTGTCTTCTCTACTTTTTTGTATATAGATATAGGAAAGGAAATGGTAAGGCATATTGATTTTTTTTTTCTCTTTGTAGGAGAATAGGAGGCGGGAGTTACATGATGCAATGATTTGTTGGGAAAGAATTGAACAACTCTAACATATTTTTGCCTATTAACGAAGAAAAGTCCAACCTATCATTTCTCCCTCTTCCCTTTACGACGGCTGGATAGTAAATTTCCCTTTTTGATTCTATGGTTGTATTTCTTCTTCGTTATTCAGATAGTTGTTTTATGGTTCTCTGTTATCCTGTATACTTTGATGTAAATATGTAACATATAATTCAAAGGGTTCGTTGCTTGGACTTGGAGCATCTCTCCTTTGGTTGAATAATTGACCGTTTTCCTTGGAGGCCTATTGCAACTCGATTCCTTGGATGTTAAAATGGAAAGCAGAGTGGTGAGGGTTGTTCATTATGTTTATTATGTTCACGAGTGACATGCTACTAGCTAGCTATATGACGATGATTTGATCAAGTAAATAGTATGTAGCAGGGGGTTATAAGTAGGAGGGAACATATTTGGGGTTTTATAAAGGGCGCGAAGAAGAAATAAAATGGTAGTAAATGTCGATGTTTTCCCCCATTTCTAGACGTTTGTAATGACATTGGTTTGTTTCCTTAGCATGAATTTTGCCTAATAGAATCCCTAACTAAAGCTTGATTTTGGCCTGATTGTTTCATAATAACTACTATTTGGATTAATGCATCAATCCGATTCACAATGGGGACTCTGCAAGATATAATGACTTGAGTTATATTGAAGTATACAACTTTTACTATTCATTTATGTTATTATTAGGTAGAAAAACATGATCCTTTTGGCGGGGTATGTAGCTCTCTACAAAATATAAATTATGATTATATGCAGTTTAGTTTACTGAAAACATAGTTTTAATAAATTAGTGACAAACAATAGTGTTATTTGTGGTTGATTTTGCTAGAATATTTTCAAGGTAAATTAAAGAATAAGCGGAAGATTGAAGATGTGGATGCCAATGTGGTTTCTCATTCTTCCAAAATTACACGAGTAACTGATACTACACGATATTTGTGGGATCTAGATCGCGATATTCTCTATTATCATATACCAACGTACGAGAAGAGTGAGAAAATGAAAGCTCTTCACTTTTTTTTTATTAATTGAAATATATTTGCAAATTTTAACTTCTTCTTTTGTGTCCTTCAAAATTTTAACTTCTTTGTCACTTTGTGTGCTAAAAAATTAATAATCTCTTAGTTTATATCTTAAATGGTGGATTCGATACATAATTATAAATCAATAAAGAAAGTACTATAGAGATCTCATTTAATAAAATCAAATTTTCATAAATAAATGAAAGATATAAAAATGTGAAACAATATATGAAATTTGGTAAGTGAGATTAACAATTCAATGTATAATAGTTTAACATAATGAATCATAAATAAAATTATAATACTAGGACGAAAAATATAATAACCAATCAAAATTTGCCACCCAACGAGTGGGTATAAAGCTAGTTATAATCTAAGTCTGTCTTCCTACTAACCATTTTTTGACAAAATGCTATTGACACATTAGTTTTGCCATAATATTAAAGAAGTTATTTGCACTAATCTGTGATCCCTGTACACCAAGACACAATATAGTATTCATATAGGCACTAATCTGCCATAATATTAAGAGGATTTGCGAGTTTCCATTGTTATGGAGGGCTCGAAGGAAATTCGCTTCGTAAATGGATCTGGCGAGGAGAAGTCATAGGTTTGTTTATTTCCATTCGTTTTCGTTGTCATTTTCTTTCTCACCTCTTTTGTCTGAGTTGATTTGTACTTCCTCTACACTACGGTAGCTGCCCGCAGTTAATCAGTCTTTTTGTTCTTTTGCTGGTGAAACTATATATGGGTCTCGAAGCTTTGTTGTCTACAAGAATTGATTGGAGCGCAAGATCTGGTTGCTTTCACTTATTCACGACGATCAATGTATGAAGGGTTTTCAACCAGCTTAC